TTTGAGTGCAGCTTTCAGCCCTGAATTTTAGATTCATGTTTAGAACAGTACTGCCTTCGATGTCAGCTAGATTTGACATGAAAAATGCACGGATTGAGGGCAAAATTGGGCATGAAAGGGCAACTGTGATCAGAGCGTGACACGCGCACTCAACGGCGCGTTGGACGCGTCGCCTAGTAAATGGCATTGTCACACTTGTGCCAAGGACCTGGATTTGTGACAAAAGGCTGCTCTCGACAAATTATCCTCTAATTCACCCATAATCCATGCAATGGAGTCAATCATTAGCAATTTGATACCTTAGAAGGTCCTCATTAAGCTCATATAAATTTTTTTGCAGGATTTCTAATAATTGTGTTTTAATTTGACGAATAAAAAGTTTTGTGCCAAGGAGGTGTATTACACTGTATGGAGATCATCGATTTAATAGACTGGGTCGAGTATACGCCAAGGATATTATCTCAGCAGTGGCATTCGTTCGCGAATATACTGATCGACATAAGTTTCCCCATTTCTTTACAAGCATCATCATCAGTGATAGTTCCTTATTTCAATGTATTGTAAAACTTTCATTTTACACATGTCCTGGCACAGATTATTGTCTTTGCACGGAGAATGCCTCAGACCCGGGCATAATGTCCTCCTTGGCGTGGTGGTACTGATAATGTTTGGGCCTACAGGAGGTGACGTAAAAGAAGGTCCACCAAAAGAGCGCTTAGTACCTGAAGACTGTTGTCTGAAGGCGCACGTATATTACAACGGACAGAACCCGGTAACGGATTATAATTACGTTTCCTATTGGAATTGGAAAGCGCTTAGGATAGGTGAACTCACCAAATCACTTTACGCAACGCCCTCCGATTTGAACAGGTCAACTCGGAATAGATGCTGACTTGGGGTAATTCTAGTACTCAAGTTTGTGTTTACTTACCTTGGTCTCTTTACGTTTGTACGGCGCTCATTCACCAGAGGAAAAACTTGGTATGCACTTGGCAATGTTGACATACGCTGCCTTTATGCGAACAAAGTAAAAGTATTAGCCCATTTCTTAGAAGTTTAGATTTAGAAAGGTATGTAGGTATATGCAATTTAAAGAGGTCAAGCCAGAAAGAGAAGCCCGGTAAAAATTCTCTCATAAAGATTGGCATTTAGTTCTCCAGACAACATCAAATCATTTATGCCGAGCGAGCGGTGAAACGGTGAAAAATGACGCAAGAGAACCCAAGGACACCACGCGATTGTCACCTGATCTCCAACCAGTCCCATGACGACGGTGACATCGGACAGCAGCGCCACCGATTTGCGCTTTACCAGCTTTTCCCTTGATGAAAATCTTTGCTTCCTCTAGCTTTTCGGCCCCAGTCTTTGTCTCTGTCCAATTATGCTTAAGTCGCATGCTCAATACTGTCAAAACGTTAGGTTATACCGACATTCTCCCAGCAATCTCTTCGTGAAAGCAACAGCAGTATCAATTTGCTATGCAAATTCATCGTTGCGTCTTTGGGGGACTGAGTCCAGAGATGGAAAAAAATTCAAAGGATGTACCAGAGATTGGTCTCGGAAACTCTTGATGGTAACGTCTGATCTGATTAGAACGCATTATCGTAGAATTCAATTCAACTACCAAGGCTACCATCATTGAAGGAATATGGTCTTCATTGGCTCATCTGAGAACGTGGTGAGATTTCAATACATTAATATATGCTTTTCCCATACACTGACTTTCGTGTAGTGGTACTTGGTCGCACGATTTCGAAATTATGGGCCTGATTCTCTTTCAGAAGCGCCATTCAGTCACGAATAGAAGACTAGCAGCGTCAAGATTGCACCCGAATAGGGACGTTGCGATGCGTCTTAGTTGCCATCATCTCACTTACACGTGAATAGAGGAGGCCCCCGGACATATAACCAAAATGTCGGATCCAAAAACGGACAGATTTTCGAAAAATCCGGCCGTAGGCCGGAGGCGAAACGGACGGAAAACGTAGGTTTTGAGCCGTCAGGCCATGTGCGAGGTCCGGACATGACATTTAGAATCCTGGTAGGCCAGACCTCTAAATGGACAGATGTTCTACCGGTTGGGTTGTGACAAAGTTCGCTTAATTGATGACCGGTGCGGGTGGTCTGAGCTCGCCTGTTCGAACCCTTGCCACGCATTTCTTTTTGCTTGTTTTAACGGTCTTTTTAGCACGATTAAAAATAAACATAAATTTGCAATATATCAAAAAATTTATGATTTCCATGCCTACGCACTGAGCACAAGTTGCAAGCCTCCTACTCACTGGTATAGCGTGATCTTTTACTGTCTCTGGAGAAACACCCATGATGTCAAACAGCGGTATCGCCATTGAACTTTATGACCATCGTCATTTCGTCGAGTCTGAATGGATTGGCATTGGCAAACAGTACCCGAAGGATCCACCGGTTTACATCGAAGACGCGAAGAAGCAGGTGCTGGAGATCCCGGACCAGTTCGAGAAGCATTTCCCAGACTTCAGCTTGCCAGTCTTACAGTTCTTAGCCGCCAATCTTCCCAGTATATCTGGGGAGCTTCTTGCGATAAAGCCTTCAAGATGGTTCAGTCAGGACGCGCCAACAACAGATGCTATTTGTCTCCTTACCCGAACAATTCCAAATAAGAATTTTCTTCAATTTCTCGACAGCGCCCTTGGTCAAGCTTGGTTTGATGGCTTAAAATGTTCAGGACATCATGAAATAACGCGGGGAGCCCAAAAAACCGCTTTCTGAGCAAAATTTAGCATTTTTAAGGCCGAATCCGCAGTCCGGACGAGATTTCACGGGTAAGGCTTAGGCCGGGGTAAAAACGGACGGAAAATCCGAAAATCGGTACGGACAGAAATTCGAAAATTTGGCTATTCTGGGATCCGACATTTTGGTTATATGTCCGGGGGCCTATAGAGGGAGGCTGTCCGCTGGTGGGTGTTTTCTGTGCTTAACTTCCGCCTTTAGAACAAGGAAGAGAGATAATTGCGTCCATACTTCACCGAAAGGGATTCAGTGAAATGTCGTTCACCATTCTTGAACTTGAGGCATCCCCGAGCCCCCCATTTATTTACATTCTAACACTGCCTCATCTGTTTGCGAATGGCATTGAACATGCCATGTCCATCGGCAGGATACAGCGACATGGGCAGATTGACGCTAAGGCCGTCGTTTCCGTCACCATCCCACAGTTGCCAAAGATCTTGTCACGCATAATCTTCGATATCATGGATCTCCGCTCCTGGCGTATAAAGGTTGAGGAGCCTACAGTTCAATTTGTTTAGCATAGCCTCCTTTTCTATTCCTTCTGATAGACCAGGTGTCTTTTTAATCGTTCTCTCTTTCTCCAAATCTTTGTCCTGCGTAACCACTTATTTTCAACACTTCCAATGGCTCACTTGACATCCTTCTTTGTTCTCGCTTTTGCTTTGTTCTTTTACTGCGTCGGTGCAGGTATGTGCTTTGTTAAAAATTTTGTGCATATAGCTAATTCTATTTTCCTTTTCAGCTCCCCTTGGTACGTGACATATTTACTGAACTTAGTCCCCAGTGCACTTAATATGCCCTTTATTCACCTCGTAGGTCAGTCCTACCAGAAGCGCCAAATTGGCGACCTGCAGTGCAACGTAGCCCGTCTGCAGACGGTGGGTGGACTTTCCAAGTCTACCAAGGCCATTCAGACCGCTATCACGGCCGCTGGATCGTAAGTCCTTTCGTCACTCCTTACCGACAGATTATGGCTCATTGTTCAACAGGGACAGCGCCACCGTTTCTCAACTTCAAACCGCCGCACAGGGCATATCCAGTGCCCAAGACGGAGTCAAGACCATTGCTGAGGCGTTACTTACCTTACAACAGGCTCCGGCGGCTGCACGCCAACAGGTAGAAGACGGCCTCACTGCTGCTTCCAGCGCACTGAGCTCTGTGTCCTCGTAAGTTGATTTCCTCTATCCCAGTTTCCTTCACATATTTAATGGACTATCGTCTAGTTCCGATTCTGCTGTAACTTCTGCAGTGTCTGAGGCACAGTCCGCTGTTACCTCTACCACTGCTGCAGGTCAGAAGGTCGTTGCGGACTGCAAGTAAATACCTAAGAGATCGATTGTTGCGGTAACGGATTTAATGGAGACAGTTGATTTTGATTGAAGGAAAGACCGGGCCCGGGTCAATCGGACTTCATTTAGTTACGGACGAACTTTGGACAATTTGCATACATATGAAATGAAGGCCTTATTTCGCAATAACATGTGAGGTACATATAACACGACATAGCTTCACACGCGCACTGAACTATTCCTTTCATTGGCATACTGTCTTGGATGAGAGGGTATTTTGGACTATGTAAGCTACTCTAAATAATTCGTGATATTGTGGTTCCTTCTTCCAGGTAGAGACATGCGTAGTAGAACCGACCTTTACTCCATAGCTCAGCATTTTAGTCCCTCTGAACAAGCCGCAACTGGAAGTACAGCAGTGGAGTATTCCTCAGCGCATACACTTGATGGGACAGATATACAGCAATTTACAGGGTGCACCCAGTTCACCGTCGACGAAAGTGGCGACAGAAAAGACGATAGCAACAAACTTATATCGTGATTTATCGACTACATGTATCTTGCCTACAGTCTTGCTACAGTCCGGAAAATTGGGAGACGGCGGATTGTGCGGGACACAATTTACACGGTGGGGCTTACCAACAGCGTATGAGTAAAAACTTGTTACTAAAACTTCAGATGCAAGTCACTCCCTTAGCAGGAGTGTTTTATACCCTGTTCCAACCCTGTTCACAACTCCAGAATTAACTCTAAATGAAACAAAATGAATGAAAAGCGTCCAGTACCTGATTCCACATGAACTACATCCATGCAAGACATCGATCTTCGGGAGCGAATTAGCCAAAATATACTCTGCAACTTCGTGTGCCTACCTCGTAAGAGAAATGGCACCTCAGTCGACCCATTAAATTCATTAGGGATGGGTCCGCGAGGCAATTCGACGCCCGCTTAGCTCAGTGGTAGAGCGCGCCACTTGTATGAACTTGTCAGCGGTTATGGTGAGGTCGGTTGTTCAATCCAGCCAGTGGGCACGGACCTTTTTGCGTCGCCAGCATCCAGTTGGACGTAAATCCATGGGATTACGAAGATTAGGCTTGGTACAGCATCTCATTATTTTCTCGCTTGGCCATTCTTTCATCATCGCCTCGACCGCAGAGAACTTTCGATAGCGTAATATCTAAAACGTTCTAGGCAGGATCATTTACTACAATGCAGGCTCGACAGAAGACGATAGAGCCAAGAGAAATCGAAGGCGATATTAAGGTGGCTCACCGTCTCATATCTTCGGAGCCCAAACTTTAGATGCACCTTCCCATGACCCTCCAGAATTGGAGCTAAGGAAGGAGACTTGGGCAAGCCAAGGAACGAGGAAGAATCAGAAAGACATATGTAAACCCGTTTGATGAAGAAGAACATGTAAAGGTGTAAGTTGCGGCATATGCAAACAAACATCAGGGTGAAAATCTAAGAACCCCAGAAACGTTCAAGACTGTCAAAGCGAGGTACGAAATCGTCCAGGCGCCAGAGAGACCTGATAAGAAGTCGAGGCGTGAATTTTAGAAAGAAGACCTTGGCAGACGAGACTTGGACGAGAGCCAGAATCAGACGTCAGGAACAGACTTCAGACCCTTCAAATGAGTATAATACACCATCCACTTCTAGGATTTCCTGTGTTCTAACAAGATTCCATGAGAACGGTGTGGACGAAGCAAGTGAACGCGAAAGATTGTGACTGACTCAGTGACTGACACCATAACTCCGGGAGCACAGAGCTTTTTTCATCACGTGCTCTGCGTGGACCGCGACGCGTCTTTCCATTAGTCGCAGCTCATAAAGTATAAAGCATAAAGCACGATGTATAAAGGCTTGAATACCGTCATGTCTCTCAAATTATACATGGCTATCTGTCTGGGAGGATATTTTACTGCGGCCTTCCAGGGCCTGAGACCCGCCAGTGCCAAGGTAACTTTCATGGAAGCCTAGATTATCCTACTATAGCTATACAGTCATGCATCAAATTTTGTATGTCGCATGACCTCCTATCGATAAGCAGTAAGGACGCTTTGTTACCGATGTTAAATAGACTATGTTCTGCCCCACGATTGAATACAAAGAGAGGTTATATATGTTTACATCCCCCAAACATTGGCCCTGAAATAAACTTCAGTCGAATGAAATTCAAAAGGTTTTTGCAAAGGAATATTTACAGAGGGAGAAAGTGCAGAGGTAAGTCGCATTTTTTTCACGACCGTGCTAACTTCAATACATAATTCATGCTATTAGTAGCCCAGGCTCCTCGCTCGACTTTGACACCTTTAGAAACCTCCAATTACCTCTACGTATATTCTGTTATCCGTTCAATCCTCGCATTCTAGAATACGTAACCTTGTAATGTTTTCTTCGGAAGTGAGTTCGGATTCTTTAATCATCTGCATTAGTACCACACGGCTAAGAGAAACGGAAGTATTCGCAACGAAGCCTTTTCAATAAACATTAAACCTATTTGTGTCCTTTACCCCTGCCGATCTTCTAGAGCCAAATATTGGACAGCTGACTCTCTTGTTCCAGCGTCTAATTGACATGCCTTGTTCACATATGTCATATGGTTATGACTGGCAGTGCGTATTCGCGTCTTCTGATATCGACTGCGGCTTTTGGAAGGTCAAAGTAAAAAAGCTCAGTCCACGAATTCATGGAGCGGTCTGGAGTTTCAGATCGAACAGCATAAATATATACGTATTTACCTTCGCAGTATTTTTAGTGACTGATGTTGTCCTCTCGTAAAGCAGCATTTGAAGCTCTCCGAAGAGGGACAGTGACAGGCAGGAAATTATACAGTTTACTCAGTAATGTTTCGTTCCTGTTTCGAAAACCTGACTTTGGAAGTAGACAGAGAGATATACCCTCACAAGTTATTTAGTCACAACCAGTTTAAATGTTATAAAAGACCCAGCATTTCGATAAGACCCCTCAGAGTTGCATCTCTAATTCGCACATCTACTTCTCAACATGCCCGGTCTTGCATTAACCCCTACCCTCAGTAAAATCGATCTCTCCAAAGTTGGAGGTCCCTCCGACGCTACCGTTGTCATCGTTGGGCTCCCCAAGAACAATGTCGGCATTGTTTTCGGTGTAAGCCTTTCTCTCTTCGCATTCGATCGAAAGTGCACTGTTTCACTGACGTTTATTCTTCAGCAACGCACGGCCGAGTGGCTTCAACGCTACAACACATACCTTCTCAACACCAACAACATCGTCATCGATCCTCAGGCGCTCTGGGACGCCCCGTCTGACAATGGCCGCTTCTTGATCTCTCAAATCGTGCCTGGAGGCTTCGACAAGGACCCTTCCGTCTCTGCATGGGTCCGTACAATGAGGACCGCAACATCGCCATCTACTGTTCTCACAAGAAACCAAGTTCCAGTGGGTTTGTGCAGAGCGACACAAAGCACAGCTTCGTAAGTTTTTCTTGGAAAAAATTATCGTTGAATTGGTTGGCTCACCGTCTGTTAGCACGAGTTCAAGATTGGCAACAAGACCGCTATTACGTTCACGATGGTGAGTGCAATGCTTTGATAGAGCCACGTCGAACATGGTTTCACAATAATATAGGTCAATGCCGAGGACGGTGGCGATTCCGACTTCCATGACACTGTTGTCGGTGTCGCCGTAGCATCGTAAGTAGAAATCCATAACGCATAACCGAAGTGTACTTGCCTGACGCACCGGATCCATATAGCACAACCAAGTAATCTGCATTGGAATCGAATCGAAAGAATGTTCAACGTTCAAGAGCCTTCACTTTGTTCCAGAAAATATAAAACCCAGATCTGTTCGCACCAGAAGTCGAATGTCTGCTCGTGATTGAAATTGGGTCACAATAAATAAACTGCAATTTGTTGCTTCGAATGAACCACGATAAGGGCTAAGTTCGAAGATATTTTCGGCCTTTTCGTCTCTCTTGCAAAAAGTCATGCTTTTTTCTACCGAACTACCGCCATAAGGGGCCAGAAAAAGAGATGAAGCTTAGAGCGACAAGTGAAAGAGTGAAATTTGCGTGGAAGGCGAGTCGGACCCGATCGGTGACTTGTCAGAGTACTAGTGACACTTGTCACCGTTATAAACGATCACGTTGCCCGCGGCCTCATTCGGATCGAACTTCCGCTTTTCTTCCACCGTCCATTGACATCTGCTGCTACAAAGGCCCTCCTCCAAGTTCGCCTTCAAAGCCGGGATCAGCTTCTGTTTCTCATTCTGACCTCAGGAGGAGAAATGGTCGAAGGTCTTACACTTTATTCTTCTGAAGGTATGTTCTGAGATGCCTGTCAGTATCTGTCTATGTAACGGACGTTCGTCGTTGTATCGTGTTAGTTCTGTATATATTTAATGTCGTGTTTAGTAGTCAGTCAGACTCCGTGGCCGCTGACATGGCGAAGTGCTGACAGGTCGAATGACACCAGGATCCCCGCTTCGGAGATCACATCCGTCAGCCAATTGTCTGACACACTTGACGCCGAACAAACCAGCTTCAGTTGCTGGAATTAATTACCCTGTGGTATTTGAAACTTTTTGATGCTACGACAGCGACAAAGCCATGGATATCAGGTCAGCTTTGTGGATAGCAAATTGTCATTCACCGTGGATGGAGGTCCTCTTGGAGTGCGACATGGCGGTGTAGCTATTTGTTTCAGCGTCATTCTGAGCTTCTAGCTCAATTTCTATACTATACTATGCAGAACAGAACACTATCAATCTGACAGAAAGACAGACAAGTCAGATCCGCTGTCGAACTTCGGAAGGAACAACAATCTCAATCGAAGACAAGCGCTATAGTCGGTGACACCTCAAAATGTCACTCAGTGGGCCCGCTATATAATGCCTGTACCAATTCGCTAACTTTCTCTACAGTGCACTCAAGCAATACACGTCTCAAAACTTACAGTATTACCCTCAACATGCGTTCTCTTTCCTTCCTCCTCGCCTTCGCATCCTCTGCATTTGCATATCTCGTCAATGTTCCTAGTGAAAGTCACGGATGGACATCTCATGGGCACCAGCCGTACGTCTCCTGTCTCCCCATCCTCATCCAAACCCATAAACACGCCTGTAAAGCTAATCTACCCATTCTTTAGCCTTCAGTGGAGCCGTGTTGACACCGACAGTCCGTCCTTCACGGTCGTTCTCACCAATCAAGACCGGGTTCGTACCATTCCTCTGAATCTTAATACTTAACAAGACCCCTCATTTTCCTTCGATTTACTCTAGAATATTCTTCCACAGGATATTGTCCTAGCTTACTACGTGGATGGCACCCGTCTATATGACAGCATTCGAGCGCCTTATGGGGGATTTCCCACTGGAGACCATTTTCGCGTTAATTTGGTCAAGGATCCTAGCGATACCAGTACTATCTTTGCACAGTCAAGCGAGTTTTCGATTCATGGTTGGTGATCGAGGGATTGCGGGAGTGAATTGAGGGTTGACCGCCCGTAGTGCTGGCTTGTTACCTGCCCGGCGATTTCCGAGACACTGGCAGCCTCGCCATTGTCGTCGACCTCCTGGACACATATATAATTCCTTAAATACCAAAACTTGCAGGAGCATGAATTAGCATATATTAGTCAAATCTGTCTATTTAGAATTTTTTATCAAGGCTTCGGCGAGCTATAAAACGTCAAAATGTTATCTGCCACAGCCAATGGCAGGTAACATGGCAGATAACATTTCCGTGAGCAATTACCTGCCCTGGCCCTGTTTGGGAACGCCTCTCACATTCTGGGTCATATTATTATTATAAAATCTGTACCGATGATCAGCTATGTCTTGCCACCATCATTGAGGTGGAAATGTTGAGGTGGCAAGAGCTAGGGACCTTCTGAAAGGTCCGGTTGAGTATTTGATTCTGCGCCGCAGGCAGAAAAAAAAATCTCTCAGAGCAAAGAGCTGCAAATAGGCCTCAGACAATGCCAGGCATTGCACATCATTGGGTAAATAGTTGGAATTGGCATGTAATATGGAAGTAGTGCACTGT